TTTTGTTTTGTTTTGTTGGGTTTTTTTTGTTTTTGTTTTTGTTTTCTTTGGGGGGGGTTGGTTTTTTTGGGTTTTTTGTTTGTTTTGTGTTTTGTTTTGTGGGGTTTTGTAGTTGTTTTGTTTGTTTGTTTTGGGGTTTTTTGGGTTTGTTTTGCTTTTAGATTTAATTTGCATTGTTTTTAGATGTGAGGGTGATTGTGAGTGCTGTTAGATAGGTGTGGACTGAGAGGCTTTTGAGGAGAAGTTCATAACCTCACAGTCCTCTTCCATTTAAATTATTTTAACTACAATGGATATGTGGAGGCTTTAAAAATGAATTATTTCCATGACTTCACAGTATAATCCACATGCATTGTCCCTTTCCAATTAGGGAATTGTGGCACAGAGTGAGCAAACTGGTCTCTCACCAATAAATATAAATAAATCTCACCCTCCCAAATTAGCACCTGAATTTTTGGGTAGTTCTTAACTTCATGGAACAGCTCTGGACTCTCAGTGTTATTCTGTGTTTCCTTCTCAGGTGTGCACAGTCCATGCAGTGAAATTGGTGCTTCCCCTGCCTTTTGCCATGTTTGGGATATTCCATCTTTACTCTTGGTGTGGCTTTGGCATTTGAAATGACTCCTCAGAGGTACCTGCTGGGTGCTGTGCAGGGGTGTCCCCATGTGGGAGCACACTGAACTCTGCAGTCTGGATTATTTGGGGTTTTTTTTAAAGCAGGATTGTTCCCAGCTGGGTGATTACAACTGAGCTCTCGAGGGAGTTCCCAACCCTTGGTTTGGTTGCTTTGTGGTTCACCTGAGGCTTTGTTCAGTCCATGTGGACTCAGGATCACTGGGCCAGGATAAAAATCTGTTGAGGCAAATTTAGTGTTTCTAAGGAAATAAGAGAAATAAAGAAGTTAAGCAAACCCTCTCTCCCTCCTCTAAAAAAACACCTCACCCATCCAAAATTAATTCTATCCCAAAATGTGCAGAGCAGTTTTCTCTGGAACATGCTAGCACCCTGAAAATCCAAGAAAAAAAACCCTAAAATGGGGGTGGTAATCACAGTATGTAAAGATCTAAAAATCTTATCCTGTGCTGCCGTTTCACCAGTGATTTAATGAGAGCTGGACCTTGTTACTAACAAGGGAAATTCCTGGGGGACAAGGGAGCCCACCCTAATTTCTGCCCTTCTGCAGCCTCCTCTATAGAACAAAGGAAAGGAGTGTCTGGGACAGTTGATTTAGGAGAAATTGCAGGAGGAGAAGAGTGAGAAAATCTCTAGCAATGAGGCCCCGTGCATTTGGATTAAACAACACTTAATACCCTGGATTTGTGTCATCCTGGCAGGCTGATCCATGGCTTTATTTACAGTTGTTGCAGGGCTGAACCATCTCAATGAGTGTGAGAAGCAGTGGAAAATCTGCTCATCCAGCATTGGGAGATGCTTCCTCAGCCCTACCCTGAGCAGAGCATCCAGCAAACTTCTCATTCTGCCCAATTTCCTTCATTTTTGCCTTGCTCCAGCCTCGTCTGTCTGCTCTGCCAGGTGCAGGTTGGGTGTGTGGTGTTTTAGCAGTTGGGGAAATCTGGTTAAGGGATGCAGAGAAGGTCAGAGTTCTAATCTGCTAATTTGAAGAAATCTCAGCTCCTGCTGAGTCTGAGATGCTTCACCAGCTGGGTAATACCAGGGGATGTTGGATTCTGTTGGGTGGACAAGCCCTGGGGTGCTGCAGGACTGAAGTTTCAGGTAAAGCAGCTTCTGGGAAACCCACAAAAGCTGCCACAGGTGGAAGGCAGAATAAAAAAAAAAAAAATTGTACTGGAAAGCTGCTGCCATAAAACTGGTGACAAAGACATCATTACAAATTAGTGTTTCTCTGGTGATTGTGATCAATCAAAATTGAAATGCCTGCTAAAAGCTTATTTACATGATGTATCCTCTCTCTGTAAAATACAGCTATAATTTATAGTGTTAATCTGGAGAAAGGTAGATTTAGATTGGATATTAGGAAGAATTTCTTCCCATCAGAGTGGGGAGGCCCTGGCACAGGTTACCCAGAGAAGCTGTGGCTGCCCCATCCCTGGAAATGTCCAAGGCCAGGTTGGATGGGGCTTGGAGCAACCTGGGATAGTAGAAGGTGTCCCTGTCCATGGCAGGGGGTTGGAACTGGATGATCTTTAAGGTCCTTTCCAACCCAAACCATGCTGTGATTCTCTAGTATAGCTCAGTCCAACTCCACATCATTCCTTCTCTGGAGATGATGAAACTGTGGAGAAGTTGGGGACAGTTTCAGGGATTTTAAAGTTGGGAAATGAAGCTGAAAAAACTAACCAAAACAAAAAACAAATAAAAAA